GTCCCGGAGGGGCTGGGGTGGTGGTGGCCGCTCTTGTTACGGGGCAGGAAGGAAGAATGTTTGCCTTGCTTGAGAATCGGCGTCGCTGCCAGGGCTGTGGGGCGTTGAGGGGTTACCCTTGGGGTGCTAGAGAGTCCAGGAAGGGTTTAGGGAAGGGTGAGGGCCTGTCTGAGGATTTCCCCAGCCACACTGCCAACCCCAGGCTGGGTCTGGAGATGGGGTGGGTGCTGTGACCTTGGGATGGGACGTGTGCCGTGGTCACTGTTGGTTGGGATCCTGGGCAAGGGACGTGCTGTCGTAGCGCACCGCTTGGCTGGTGAGCGATGCTGCTGCTTCCCAGCTCCCAGGCGTGTGGGAAAGGGGCTGGACTGCTGCTGGGCTTCCCAGCCGCTGCACTGGGGGGAGTTGCCTTGGTGTTTCATCACCTTAGATAGAAGAGGAGTTGGAGACACCTGGAAAGGCAAGTAATTCCAGAAAGGTCAGCCAGTTAGTCCAGCGCAATGGAGATTTCTGTTACTGGATCATGGGTTTTTTTTTAAAAATATCAGGAGATTTCACCTCTGGAAATGCTGCCTGTAGGATCTTAGAGGATTCTGAAAACATTGTCAAACTCGAAGGCACTGTTATTTTGTAGGCAGTTAGGGGCAGCGTGAGGATTTTTTGCAGCACCTTACACCGTTTTATCTAAAAAGAATAAAAGAGGAAATAATGTCAAACAAACTCGATATTAACACTTGAGTGATGTTTAAATACAGGTGCTTTAAAGCATCAGTGGTTCTAAGTAATACCTTAGGCTATGAGCCCTAAGCATGTGAGTAGTCCGGTTGATTTGGGTTCATCCATAGGCTTGGGCTTGTGCCTGATCTTTGCAGAACTAAAGCATCTCTCTGTGTAAAATTCAGATTTAAAAGGCCGGAGGCATCCATGAAGTCCTGCTTAACTTAATCAACTTCAGCGTTCCTCTCCCTGCTTGGTGAAGTAATTGATTTCCTCTTGGCCCTTTTCACATAGAAAGAGGGAAAAATGTAAAAACAGAGGAAGAAACGTATCAGAAATTACAAGGAAATGTGTATGTCAAGATACTTGTATGTATACGTGAAGTAACTTCTTGTTTGGCTAGACTTCAGTAGCTGGCTAAGACTTTAAGCAAAAAGTGATGCTAGAGAACAATGGAAAAAAGGTGAAAATAGTTTTTATAGGTCTGACAAATGAGACTGTTAGTCTGTTTGCTGGGAAACTTTCTAAGAAAGCTAGATGTTTTGTTTGCTTGTTACCATCGTGATCGGTTATCAGTTCTTTGGGGACACAGAACAAGTAGTCTTGTGACATCTGCTGTGTCTTCTAGGTTTGTAATTGAGCAGCGTCCCGTCCTTATGATGCAGACAGAGGAACAGAGGCTGGGGGCTTCAGAATGCCCCAAGCAGTTGCCCGCTTCCCTGGGAGTTAGGGGACGGGGCGCAGCTCCCTCCTTCGCCCCCAGTGTGGTTTATGGCAGGAGTGATGACAACTTGCTGTGGCAAGCCCGTGTCCCCTGCCCCTGCCGAGAGGGTGACCCAGGCCTCGAGAGCAGCGTGAGCAGCCCTCGCAGGAGGGCGAGGTGGTGAGGGGAGCCCCAGGGGCGGAAGCTCGCCCAGCGGTGCGAGTGGCCTCCCCTTGCTCGCGGGTCGGAGCCGTTGGGGCGTCCCTCTGACCTCAGGCGCACCCTTCTCGGGCGGACAGAGTCCAGACGGCCATGAACGACCGCTCCTGCCTGCCGGCTGCCTGCTCCTGCCTGCCTGGAAGGGACAGAGCCGTGTCGGTGCCGGGCTGGACTGTGATCCCTGCCGAGAGGCTGTTTTTTTTGGGGCGGCAGGAACGCGCCGAAAGCAGCTCTGCCGCTCTCGAGAGCTGGGTGGCTCTGCCATGAGGATAGACTGAAGTGCCGTGCCGTGGTGAAGGCTGGTGCCCCGGTGGCTCTAGCCATGCCGTTAGCTGTTGCAGCGGAGCTGTTGGTAGGGCCACTCTAAAACCAAAGTCACTACGGCTGGCTGAAAGTCCCTGCCCGTTCTTTTCCTTAACCTGCTCTTTTTCATACTGAACTTAACCCGTATCCCTTTAGTTACCTTATTTATACCAGAAATGCTTGTACTTGCTGTTCTAAGGGGCAAACAACTGCATACAAGGCAGAAGCGAGTGAGAGGCGGCGGCTGGGAGCTTCGTAGGTTTGTCCTTTGCTGTCAAAATCCGTGTTTCTTCAAGTTTTGGTGGGTGCCTGGCACAGATGTGAATAGGCAAGAGATCTCATTGCCTTTCCTTCAGTGCCACAGTACTCAGCAAACACACTGAAATGCAGAGACTTACTTTTTTCAGTACTTTTTTCCTGTTTACTGAATTCGTATACTCTGTTGTGCGTTATTTTTCAGTGTCCTATAACCAAATATTGTAGCTTTTGAATGTTGCCTTAAAACCTTTCACTCTATGGAAAAGCAACAGTAAATGTAATTCTGTTTTATCGTGTGATGAAACCTCCTTGAGCTAATCCAGCACACGCTGCCTCTATACAGGCAGTGCTGCCTATCGGTTTCCGAGCAGGTGCGTTAAACCTGCTTGATCCCCACATTTCACAAGCTGAGAAGGTGAACGTTGGTAGAGATAAATATGGATTAACGCGTTATTTTTTTATTGGCTTTCCTTAAGATGGCTTCAAAATCTTCCCTGTGAGCCCAGGCTGGGAAGTGGAGGGAAGAAGATGAGAAGGAAACCTGGCTGGTCTTGTTGGGAAGTTAGATTAGATCAGTAGGTGCAAACCCCGAAAGGCAAGCAAGGCTGGCTGAAACGCTGCCTCTCGGCGTGTCCTTTGGCCAGACTAGTGGTGTATGACCTGGAGTTCTGAGGGTGATGCGTGTCCTTTAATGGGCGTGTTTGGGCTTCTGTTTATTGTAACGGGATTGTAAATATAATGGCGAGTTTAGAACCGGAATGTGAAAAATATGCACGTGGTGAACAACAAATACCCAGTTTGCCCAGTTCCGAAGCAACTCATGAGTTGCTATCACTGATATTTACAGCTCTGTGTTTTCTGAAGAGGAGCAAAAAAAACAATGCTGGGAAGATGGTTTCTAATAAAAGTACCTTTGATTAAATTCGGGAAAGCTGCTTTATTGCTGGTCACTGGTCCTCTGCTTCAGATATAATCCGTACTATCCGGGACCCGGAGAAGCCTAATACTTTAGAAGAACTGGAAGTGGTAACGGAAAGCTGTGTGGAAGTGCAAGAGATAGGTGAAGATGAATATCTGGTTATCATCAGGTTTACACCAACAGTACCTCATTGCTCTTTGGCCACTCTCATTGGTAAGGTTTCTGTTTCATTAAATCTGTAACAATGAGTGTAAATGTAATTTGAGGGTGTCTGAATAACATTAGTTGGAATTCAGTATTGCTTTGCCAGCAGTGCGACCAGGAATTTCATCCTGAGAACCCTACTAGCAATGCAGACAAGCAAAAACCAGAAGAAATGTGGGCACCTCCATCTGTTTGTGCCAAGTTAGGGAAGCTCTTGAAAGAGAAGCTCTGAAAAACCTTTCTGGGAATGGCTACAGAATTCCTTCTTTACGTTCTCCGAATTATTTGAGTAATGTTAAACTGAAAATTTGTCAGCTCTTAAATTTAAAAAAAAAAAAAAAAAAAGTTAAAACCTTATGATTGTCTCCCTTCCCTTTCCCTTACCTTATGGGCCGTTCTCCATTCCCACACATGTGCAAAAAACCCCCACATGCAATCCAAGAGTACAAAAAAAAGTTCTCAACTGTTAGGAGTTTGAAAGTAATTAAGGTGAATGAGAATCTACACTGGCTTATTTTGCCTTTTTTTCCCCTTATTATTTATAATGAGATTACATCTGAAAAATCACGTCCGAGATGTCTGAAATTATTTGTTTCAGCGTACCAAGGTTAGCAACTCTTACCATTAGATAACAATACTAAGATTTCTCAGTGTGTTTTACCTATTTGAGGGGAAAATAAGTCTTTAATTTAATGAAGAAGTACATGTGTTTATGCCCAAATACACCTTTGCAGCTTTACGTAGGAAGTAAAGTCTGGATAGTGCAGCGTTAGCGTGCCAAACAGTAATAACTGGTTTGTGGTTTGACCCTGTCGGGAATGTCTGGGTTAAGGCTCAGACCCGAGGATCTGATGGACGATGTGTGTCACATCTCAAACTTGGTGCTCGTCACGTTCTCAGCACCTAAACGCCAGCCAGGTCTTCGCTGTCTGACGGCAGTCCTGCCCCGCGGGCGCAGGGGCGCGGGATGTTCGGGGCTGGGGGGTGTGGCTGAAGCACGGATCCTCCTGCTGTTAGCGGACAGGGTTATGGTAACGCTTTTAAATAGCTGGGGGGTGTCTGTAAGAAAGTGGGCAGTAACCGGTTGTTGGGGGTTTTTTCCCCAGCTTCCTTGTCTGTACAAAGTGGTAGCTCTTTCGGGGGTATTTTCTGTCGCTGGCTATTTCTGTTACCCCTGGCTCAGCCTGAGGACAGACCGGGGCTCTGGCGTGGCTTTGTCCCTGGGTGGCTCATGGCAAAGCCAGACCTTGTGGGGAAACGGCGGTGGGCTCGTGGCGGGGGTGTCCCCAGCCTTGGAGCTCGCTCCCAAAGGTTGCACGGCGGCGCTGCTCTGCTCGGCCTGTGCTTGGACATTGAATACTGAAGTCAGGAGCTTGAATCCCCCCCGGCCATCGCAGGCGTGTGTTCGAGCCATTTATGTTGGGTTTTTTTAGCCAATGTTAAAAACCAGACCCAGCACGCTCAGAATAGATGCAGCCACAGTGGCAGCTGGGAAGCTCCATCAAAACTATAGAAGAAAGCTGGAAATGGAGAAGTTGGTCTGTATTTAGTGTTTCTAGGAGGTGTTTAGAGCCCAGAGACCTCCTAAGCTTGTAAGGCAGGTATGAGCTTGCCTGAGAAGCTACACCCAAAGGGTCAACCCCCCAATTATTTAGTCCGCTCTGTGCCTTGTGCTGCTCAGAATACCAAAGGAGAAGGTTGTCCATTATACTGGTGGGTTTTGAGTGTTAAATATGGATTCTCTGAAAATGCACCTCAAAACTTGGATTTTACAAGAAAATCTCTTTCTGTTTTGTTGAAACAGGCCTTTGTTTAAGAATCAAACTTCAGAGATGTTTGCCTTTTAGACATAAGGTAAAGTATCTGTTCGGGAACTTGCTTTAAACTACGGGGCCGCGTGCCAAGCTGTCCTTCAAAGAGCGCGTGCTGCGGGGCCGAGTGACCTGCGGGCTGTGGTTGAGGACGGGGTCGTCTTAAAGCTTGTCCTTTGCCTGCGGGGGGAGGGAGCGTTGCCGTGAGTGTGGCTCCTGAGGGGACCTGTGAGCAGCCGCGGTCCTTCCTTCCCTTTGCCAAAGACGGCTCGTCGCCGCGCGTCTGAAATCGGCTGTCTTTCCAGGGGTGTCCTCACCCGCTGTCACCCTGGCCGGGTGGCAGAGAGGGTGTTTCCAAACCCAGTGTTACAAAGAATTGAAGTCTTGGGGAAAATGAACTTGGCCTTCTGCGGTATTTCAATGTGTCCAAGCATCAGAAATGTAAAATATTGCTCGGCACTGGCTCTGCCGCACCATTTGGAAAACCTGGGGGTTGCCTCCGGTGGGCCAACCCTCTGAACCAGCCCTGGAAGCAAGAGGACCGCTCGGCTGTCGGTTAGAAACCCGTTAAGGGGAGTTCCGCTGCTTTAGGCAGGCGCCATCTAGGCAGTGCAGACTTGGGGACAGGTTCACTAGAGTTCAGAAGAACTGCAGGCTCCAAAACGGGAACGGCACTGGGGGAACCTTTCTGACCTGCGCCTTAGGAACCGGCGTGTGGGCGGCACACGGGCCTGCCCGGGTCGGTCTGCTGTCCCTAGCAGGGGCCAGCCCTGGCTGTGCTGCTGGACTGTAAGAAACTATATAGGAAACGGGGTTAATATATCCTTAAAGAAAGCTCTTTGAGTCTTAGGAGGAACGAAGAGTAGACCTTCAATGACAAACAGTCTTTTACAGACCTTTAGAAACTTGCCCCAAGTAGTTCAAAGTATAAATTCATTAGCCGAGGATTTCTGGTGTTGATTGTTGTTGTTGTTTATAGTTGCTAGCTTCATCTTTCCAGTTAAACAGTGTGTGTAAGGTGAGGCTTGTGTTTCTAGAACATTAGGCAGACAGGGATTTGTTACGCTGGACACGTGGCAACGAAGAGGTTCAGCTGCGGCGAGATAAGGCGGAAGGCAGAGGGTTTGTTTACTTGGTTTTCCTTCGGTACCTCATCAGCTTCAGGAGGTCTCCTTGCCGTTCCGTGAGTGTGAGGGTTTTGTGGTTGTTTTGCCCAGGCCTGTTAAATGCACGAAGGGGATTTAGGTCTGTTTAGATTCTAGTCCTATAGTCTGTTGCCGTGCAGGGAACAGACGCTGCATTACGCTGCCACCTTCCACCAGAGTCTCATCACGGAGCAGATCTCACTAGGACTATCTCATTGGGGATCTCCTCCTCAGGGTGTCTTTTCAAGGGTGCTGAGCTTGTGAAAGGGACGCTCGCGTTTCTGGTGGCTTTTAAACAAATTATTCCCGAATTGGGGCCTGCAGAGAAGTGGTCGAGCCAGTAGTGCCTCTCTCTCCAGCAGCCTGACTGCGATTACTTTTTCACCACAAGAGCAGCTGATGCCAGTGAGGAACGAATGCCCCTGCGCTGCCGAAGAAAGGTGATGGGGGCTGAAGTGGGGGAGGAGATGGTCTTGTGGGTGTGTTGCAGTGAAGCCCAAGATCAGCTCTCGGTGTCGATCCCCTTTCGCGGTCTGTGAACGTTTTAGAAGGACGGATGACGTGCATTGTGTGTGCACTGTACCGTTCTTCTCTTCCAGTACTGAATATCTTCAGCTGTTGATGCATGTGTCTAACATGACTGATCTCTCCTCTAGCTGGAAATCTACATATCTGAAGGTACACATTCCACTGAGGAAGACAGTAAGTAGAGCTTACCAAAGCGTGCTGCTTCAGGCTGTGTGTTCGTGTGCTTTTGAGAAGTCCCTTTCTCCCCCTGCCTTACTGTCCTTTTCAGGAATAAATGCGCCGTTAAAGCTTGGCAATGAAGCAGGTCGTGGAGGCTGTTTCACAAGCCGAATTGGTACAAAACAACTCGGTGGTGGTGGTTTGGTTTTTTGAACAAACGAACAAACCCCCACGGTTCTTGCAGCTGTTGTGCTTATAACAAAAGAAGTTGCGGCTGTGCTGCTGAACAATTAACGTGAAGAGCTTCCTGACTGGTTGGTCTCGCTGTCTTAACGTCATCGTAACGAAAATAGAGGTTTCTCAGACAATGTTCGAAATAAAACTTACCGGACATCAACGTTCTGTCAGAGCTGTAGGCAGTCGCGGTCCTAAGCAGCTGATAAAGGCGATGCCCCAGGCTGTTTTGGCCTTTAGCTTTAGATATCTTTGATTGGGGAAAAAACGGTTCTTCTGATTAAATGAGTAGAAATTGAACCCGGAGAACGTGGGCTGCTAATTTGTGACGAATTTCACGCTTGATTTTAAGACGTGTCGTTACGGTGTCTTACATTCTTTTCCTAAACCAGGAAAGTAACAAAAATGTTTCGTTTCTGATAGTTGGGGGTTTTTTGTGCCTGAGCTTTCGTTTGCTTTGTCCCCAATTTCCTGTTGATCCTCTGTCCTTTGACTGCTGCCTCTTGAGCACCCTCGTTGTTGTCCCTCTGGTGTGTCTGGCACAACCTTCTGGGTCCAGGTCGTGCAAACTGAAACGTCTGCCTGCGCAGCGCTGCGTCAGCTCTCGGGCAGGCTTCAGTCTTGGGTATCAGGCAAATTGGGTCTTCCAGCTAACGGGAGGATTGACAAGGAGGAGGGCACGGGCCCGGGCCCGGGCACGCTGTGCTGTGCTGTTGCTGCACGTTTTCCCATTCGCGGGGGCTGGAAGGTCTTCGCTGCGCTGCGGCGTCTTGTGTCCCGCTCCCGTTAGGGACGCAGCACCGGTGAGAGCTGCTTCTGACCTGGCTTTTCATGTGCTTTTTGCAGTCAACAAGCAGATCAACGACAAGGAGAGAGTAGCGGCTGCCATGGAGAACCCGAACTTGCGTGAAATTGTGGAGCAGTGTGTTACGGAGCCTGACTAGTAGCTATATCCCCACAGAGTTATCATTTTGATACATTTCTTAAAATATCTTTGGTTTTAAAAAAAAAAAAAAAAGAAAATAATAATAATCAAGGCCTTGAGTTTAATACTTGAGTTCTTTTTATCTTCCATGTTTTTTTAAAATAAATTGTTTATAAGATAGATTTAAATTATGACGAATTAGTCTCTAAAATAAAGTGAAGTCTATAGTGTTAAGAGTTTGTAATTTCTGGTGTCCAGAGAAATATTTTATGATTAAAACCAGAACAAGACACGTGTACTGCCTTCTGTTGTGATATAAATTCAGTTTTGCAAGTTAAATTTCTACGTTGTTTCAATCACTGCACTGTAAAAATAAAACAGATTCTTGTACTGAAATGCTGCTTTCTGAGTTCAGTAATTGTTTTTTCTTTAAGCTTAGGCTTAGATTTCTGTTAGAGAGGGAAACATCTCATTCAGCTTCTCCATTGTTGATGAACACATTAAAGCTGAAATGAATTCAGAAGAAGAATTTGGAACCAAGGGACTGGACTAGAACAAGGTAGTTTTTTACTGGGACTGTCTTCCTGCCAAATATTTGTGCTTTTTCCCCTCTTAAGGACATGTTTCTGATTCTGGAGGCTTTGCTTTGTAATAGCCCTGAGGGTGAAGTTTTCCTACGGACAAGATCCTGCCAGTGTGATCCTGCTTTTTCTTACGACTTCCCTGCACCGTGGGGGGTGAGGGAATCCACAGCCCTTCGATCCTCTGCTTCCCGCCCTCCTGTCTCTTTTTGCTGCTCCCTCCCCAATCTTACCTGGGGCACCAAGGACGTTGCCAACATGTCTCCCCAGTGGAGGAGCTCCCTGGGGTTAGTGGCCGCTGCAGCTGTGGCTGTGACCATGGATTCGCCTTTCCCGGACATTTCTCGCTCGGCTGTCCTTCTCCCCGTGGAAGCGGTGCTCAGGACCCGCCACACGGACCCACGAGGGCCTCGGTGCCAAGTGTCCGTGCAGGGGGAGAGGCTTTTTTTTTGCTTTCCAGCGCAGGGGTTGATAGGTTTTCTTTTGAGACTGAAGATACCTGCTGGTTGTGAAACACTGCGACCGTGAGATCTGCAGCTCCTCGTCTCAGGCGAGTTCCCTGGCGATTTGCTGGGGGCCCGATGCCTGTACCTGCACCACCGAGGTGGCGCCCCCGCCTCAGACAAGAGCTTTGCCCTTGGTGGACAGGGAACAGGACGCTCTGATGCCCATCGGGGGACTTTCCTTGTTTCTGCAGTGCCTTGGGATCATTGGCACTGACGGCTTTGTGCTGAGCACGGAGGCGAACCTCCCTGTGCAGAGCAGCCAGCCAGTAAAACGGACCTGACCGCAAAAGCAGGTCTCTGAAACCAGGAACAGTCCCAGTTCCTCAGGGAACGGGTCACTGCCAAGGGGGCCTGGGAGGTGGCTTCGCAGGGCTGGGCTCCAGCAGCTCAGGAGGCAGCTCCAGAGCCGCTGCACTTCTCAGCTTTGCCATTTCAGTCGGGGTTAGGCTCTTTGTCCGTCCCCGTTGCTGCTGCCCTGCAGACCGGGGTGGGCAGAGGCTTTCCTGCGCTCCCACCACAGCCGCGGGGTTTGCTGAAGCTGTACCGTGCAGTGGCAGAGAAACAGGCGGCGAGCAGGGCACGCCGTCTGCACGCGGGTGGAGGAGCAGGTCAGGGAGGGTCATATCGGGCAGGATTTTCGGTGCCTGAGGACCGTAAGGCGCCTCTCCAAACCCGGGACGTGTCGCCCGTCCCCACTTGCTATCATCGAGTCATAAAACTGTCCCTTCATATTATTATTAATATTTTTTCATTTCCAATAAGGAGAAACAACTGCAGAGGGCACCAGCAAGCCGCGGAGCGATATTACAACCAGTAGCGCTGCTGGGTGAGGAGCATCCCTGCCCTGGGCTCCCCCGGCCGGGGTCCGCACGTGGGCGCTTGCACGGCCGCTCGCCCCGGTCTGCACGGCC